TCTGAGGGAGTCCCCAGTGGGTCCTCCGAGGGCCGCGAGACGGTCCTGGGAGGTCCTGGGAGGGTCCCCAGAAGGTCATGGAAGGCTACTGGGAGGCTCCTGATAAGAGTTGGTATGCTTTCAAGTGGTTATTGTTCGTATATAGCAGGCAAGCCAGTGGTGGCCTGGCGGCCCGAAAAGGCAGTTCTGACTGAACACGAGCGGGTGGCGAAAACACGCCCGCACCGGGCCGATATGGGGTGGCAAGGCGCTCGCCCGAGGAAGAACTTCTGCGCCCTGTCCGGCGCACGATGAAAGCCCGCAACGACAAGCCAGCCGGGAATTCGGCCCTCTCTCTCTCTCTCTCTCTCTCTCCGTAACGCCGCGCGCACTCGTCCGACGCGCGCTCGAAACACGAGCGCGGATGCACCGCTGTCGGTTTCCGACGTGTGGCGCTTGCCCGCAGCGACGCGTACTTTCGTTTCCAAACGCTCTCAAGCGCCCGCATGGACGCGGGGCGTGCTCTTCGCAATACACAGCTCACGCTGGACCCACTCAGGACTCTCTCCGGACTTACTCGGGGCCCTCTCAGGACACTGTCAGAACCCTGCTGTCAAGATGTCTTCCTGGGATCCTGCTTAAAACAATCCGCTGCCCAACTGGTGCCCAGACCCAGAGATCCGACGTCTTGATTTGTTCAATGCGGGGTCCCCCCCGAAGTCCCGACCCTTCTGGCCAGAATAACCGCTGTTGGGCAGGCGGCCTTCCGTCTCAAATTGACAACGCCCGCGGCTATACCGACGGCGTGCCCGTTCATGATGAGCAAGCCGTCAGCAAACAATCAAAACTTAACTTTGTGTGTTTTCTGCATAGCGTGGTCCCCCTCCTCGGGGCGTTCCAATGCCAACGTTGGTTGAGGGCTCGCCTCGGGGCCAGTGGTTCCGCTAGGTGGTCAGCGCCGTCGATGCCTCCCTCGGTGAATGTTCTGCGAGTCCATAGGCGGAATCGCAATTTCCCTTGCCTCCTCCCAAGTGGTGGACCCCGAGCGTTCGCGACGGCCGCCAAGGGCGCGTGCGCCCGACCGACGACCACGACAGGCGCCCCAAACAACGGATGGCCCTCAAACGCGACAGGTGTCCAAGAACCACCCCGGGCCCCGTGGTGGCTAGGAGACAACTATGCCCTGAGAAACGCAACTGTCACGAAAGCCCTTCGAGCAAAGATCTCAGGGTCTCGGCCCCGCCTCCCCCTGGGCGAGTGGGGGCACCTACGGGGAACGCCCACGCCTGAGTTCCCCCTCTCGGGGGAACTTCGGCGGGAGCGATGCGCGCGGGGGCGGCAGTCGAACCCCCTGGGCGATCGACCGCGGCAGATCCCCCTCCCCCCCCGAGCAACGCCCCTGGCCGAGCAACGCCCCGTGGGCCCTGCCCAGTCGAGCCCGCGGGGGTCGCCGGCGAGGCTGGGCGGGCGCTCGCGCGCCTGCCCACTCCCGCGACCCCTGCCCGGCCTGGCTGGCCGAAGGCCAGCGCCGCTCGGCGCCTCTCGGGCTCCACGCAGGCCGGGGGCGAGTTGGGCAGACGCTGGGATGGCCGACGTGCGACGCAACACCCAGTCGGTTGATTTTCCTGTCATGGGGCCTGGCGAGCAACCTTTATGTGATACTGTTTGTTGCCCCTCCCGCTGTCGATCTTTGTATACATCCTGCCCGTGCCCACGTCGATCGTCCCGAACTGACGTTCCCACCTGTGCCCGCTCGCTGTCGGGCACGGGGGCGGAGAAGCACCGTGCCAAGAAGCCGGAACAACTCGCATGCCGCATCTTACTTCCGCGGGCTTCCGCCAACGGACCCGCTGCAATTTTACGTCCGCCAGCCTTCCGCCCGCTTCCGTCGAGGGCGCCATACGTGTATCCAGCCCACGCCCAGGACAGCCACGTCATGTGTAACCATGGGCATTGTTTTACGGATCCCCACCCACCACTGGCCGACTTTATCCCCTGAGGTAGGGATGCATACTATTGCTTTCGGGCTCCGCGGGACCTACCACCTCGGGGGTTGGGCCTGTGGGGCTGAGAAACCATGGCTCCATGTGGTTGGGGATAGTTTCGGCGATGTTGCAGCCAGCATCCGATACAAGAACCCTGGGCCGCCAACTGCCGAGTTGTGCGGGGTCCCCCTGCCTGAAGTCTCTATCCTATGTTGCAGGAGGTTCAGGCCTCCCACCCCGACGCAGGCCGTCTCACAGAGGAGTGCAACTGCATGCCGGTGCAGGGGCAAACCAGCCAAGCGAGCCGAAATCAGAAGGAGCAGAGACAGCTCAGGCATCGCAGAGACCATAGAGGCAACTTTGGACTGAGAGACGAGAAGGGGCAAGCCAACAACATAATAGAACAGGAGACATGCCGCATCGATTGATTATGTCATTATTGCCTCCCTGTCTCGAAAGGAAGCGCATGAGCTATCGCCCACAAGGGCACTACCTTAATGCTCTGCTCGAACTCACACAGTACATTCTCGTGCGCAGTGTGCATGTGCGCGCGGGCATGAACTCTCGATGTCGGCCCTGCTCAGGGGGGGGGGAGGAGCGGGGACCACGAGGGTTTGGGGCCCCTCTGGGGCCCCAGATCTGGTCAAAGTCGGCGCGTTGCCCCATCACGCCGACCGCAGCATCGCCAATCTGACTCAGACCGGCCCGGATTTTGCCCAGTGCACACGTGACGTCGCGCCGTTTGCTCTCGACGCGCCCTAATGGACAACGTCGACACCACGGCAGACCCACGGCAAATCCTGCGTCCCACGCCCAAATAAACGAAGCCAGCACCGCGGCGAACCCCACGACGAGCCCTGCGCGCCCGCGGCAGCGTTTGCCCTGGTTGCCGCGGAGCCCTCCCCAAGACGGAAGGCCGCACGTCGGAACAAACGGCGCGGCGACACGTGCATCTAGAGCAGCCATCATCTTCGCGCTGCGCGCCGTGCAGTCATCTTCGCGCGGCCACCCCGAAGAGTTGCAGCCTGCGGGCCTAGACCACAAGGGCGGGCGCTCTGGGCGCGTGACATGTCCATGGCTGCCCTGATGCGCAGCAGCAACCCGTAGATATTTAAGCGTCTTGGCACGCATGCTGCTTTGAGCATCTTGGTACGGAGCTCAAGCCCTAGATTTAGGCGACTCTGGCGCGACACATTCGTCAAAACGTAGGCCAACATGCGCTAACCTGTGGCAGCGTGTGTGACTCAGATGCTTCGAAAACGGTGCAATGCGGACGCGGCCACAATACACCCTCGCGGGAAGCCCGGCCCCGAAAATGAGGGGACTCCCGACTGCCGCAAGTCGGCCTACGAGCACGTCATCACTGCGGGCAAGATTTATATCCCGATCCACTGCGTCTTGGATTCTCTGGGAAGGAGCGCCAAAGGCCGAGGCGCAGTGGAAGTGGATGATGATCTAGCCTCGAGGGGCCAATGTTTCATCCATATCCACTGCGCCTCGTGGATTCTGGGGAACCCAGAACTCCAAGACGCTGTGGGTGTGGATACAAATCTTGCCCCCAACTGGTGCAATTTCTTACGCCCCGGATCCATTTCTGGCGGTCCAGGGGCCCGAAAACGGCACCCGGGGGCAGAACAGGGCAACCAAAAACCTTCTGGAACCCAGCAACACCTCAAACCTTGGCCCCCCCTTCCTGCTCGCTGGAACCAGTGCTGGGCCGCCTCAGACCCCCAGCCGGCTCCCAATCCCAGCTGCCGCAGGTCGGCCTACGAGCACGTCATCATGGCAGGCCGTCGCCCACGCGGTGGCACGGTCCATTTAGCTAATGCACTCCCAGACCGGGTCGGAGGAGGAGGAGGAGGAGGAGGAGGAGGAGGAGGAGGAGGAGGAGGAGGTAGGAGGAGGAGGAGGAGGAGGAGGAGGAGGAGGAGGAGGAGGAGGAGGAGGAGGAGGAGGAGGAGGAGGAGGAGGAGGAGGGAGGAGGAAGAGGAGGAGGAGGAGGAGGAGGAGGAGGAGGAGGAGGAGGAGGAGGAGGAGGAGAGGGAGGAGGCGCAGGACGAAGAGGAGGAGGAGGAGGAGGAGGAGGAAGACGAAGAGGAGGAGGGAGGAGGAGGAGGCGCCGCGTCGCCGATGCACCGCCGATGCCTCGGCGACGTCGGCGGTGCATCGGCGACGTCGGGGCGGAGAAGACCGGGCTCCACATCACGGAGGCCGGGAGGCCCGGCCCCTCCGGCGGCCCGCAGAGCCGACGTCGCAAGTAGACCGCAATCTCGCAGAAAATCGCCGCCGGAGTCGTCGTCGTCGTCGTCGTCGTCGTCGTCGTCGTCGTCGTCGCCCTTCAGGGTCGGCGGCACCAACCGTGAGGCCTTCGTAATTGCCGCCGGAGTCCCAGACCCCCTCTTTTTTCGCGCCATTTTTTCGAGCCGCATCGAGCTGTGAGGGTTCTGGGGCCACAAGGCGGGGCGACAACGTCCGTGGTGGACCAGCCTGGAACATATCAGATCCCTATCCTTGGGTTGGGAACGTCCTCCTACAGGCGGATTTCGGAAGACAAATGATAGCCAAAACATATTCACAAGCAATCATAAGACACGAATAATCGTCACCATATCATATGCAAACAAAAACCATTATCGAATCTTCCATGTGTAGAGGGCCATGCCCGACTTAACCCTAAGATTGGCATCGCCCCATCTCGATGCCGATCTCAAGGCTCCCCTCCGTTGCCGAGGGCGCGGCTAGCGATTGTCGTCGTCCTTTTGGCCTGTCGATCTTGAGGATAGGGTTCGGTCGGACACGTCCTCCCACAGGCGGGCTCCCCGGAAGAACACCTCGTCAAACCACACTCCAAACAGAGTCCAAAGAGAACGAGAAATCGCCCCCAGGCTATTCTTCACCACTCTCGAGCCTTCCTCGTGCAGGAGGGGCACGCCCGAGACTTCAGGCTGATCCGGCGTGGAAGGACTGCAACGCCCAGATCTCTTGGGGGGGAGGGCTCCCCTCGCCTCCGCGCGCTCGGCAGCGCGCCCTTTTCGCCCCACGGGCGCCCACGCCCACGGGCGCAGGGCGCAGGGCGGGGGGGGCGGGCCTGCCGCGCAGAGGCCGGGGGGTGGCGCCGTGGGGGCCGGGCCAGGCCCGCCCCTCACGGGTGGGGGAAGGCCTCCCTGGAGGCCAGGCGCCGCCAGTCCGGGTAGTCCTCGGGGCGCGCCGAAGATGAGTTCGGACGCCCGAGACTCAGAGGGGGAAGAGGTACCCATACCTCTGCCCTCCCCTCGTTTTCCGCTTGTTTGGGCCTCCTCGGCGGCCCTCGTCGCCACCGCTGGATGCGCCTCGAAATCCTGGTCCGAACGCACCCCAGGAGAGGTCTGGAGAGTAGCGGTATCGGTACCTTTTGGTTTCTTCACACATCGGCACCATGCCCAACTACAAATGTTGTCCAAGACCGACAGCGGCCGCTGTTGGGCAGGCGAGCTTGTGTCCCAAGCGGGCCACGGCCGCGGCGACGCCGACAGCGAATCCGGTTCAGAATGAAGAAGAACTGCTCTTGGACTTTGAACCGATGGTCTCTGTACCCATGTCGCTCCCGCCGAGTGAAAGGGACGATATGCGGGTGCTTCCGGCTCAGGGGGCAAGCGTCGATCTGGAATCGGCGATGCATCGCCTAGAGGTCGGCCATAGGCCCCCGATAAAATCCGCACGCTCCTGGGCTGGGTAGCGCACCGTAGAAGGTTGAGAGGCAACTCCTAGGAGGCCTTCTTCAGAATGATCAGAACCTATAAGCCCGATTGAGGAGCCGTTGGGCCGGATTCGGGCGGACAAAGCTCGGGGCGAAGCCGGATTAGGCGGGATTGCAACGGATTAAGCCAGTAGTCGGGATCGAAGACGCCTACGGCGAATCACCGCCGCCCCCTGCCCCTTTGGAAGCGCCCCTGTGGTTGACAGCTGGGTCAGAGTTTGGCCAAGCTATCGGGCCAGTTGTTCCTCGAGTCGGTTTGGAAAGAGTTCGGGGAACGCATGGGGGAGCAAGAAGAGGAGGGGGAGGATGAGGAAAAAAGCGGAGGAGGAGGCGGGGGAGAAGGAGGAGGAGGAGGGAGGAGGAGGAGAAGCAGGAGGAGGAGGAGAAGGAGGAGGAGAAGCAGGAGGAGGAGGAGGAGGACGCCTCTTGGGCGCCTCTTGGGGCACTCCTGGGGGCCTCTTGGAAAATTTTTGGGGGCCTTTGGGGCTTCTTGGGGGCCTGTTTGGCCGTCTCAAGGCGTTCCTGGCTTGTCTGACGCCGCCGGAAGCCGTCTTGGGGGCCTGTCTGGGTCGTCCTGGGGCCCTCTTGGGGCATATCAGGGGTTCTTACAAGCCATCTTAGGCGTCTTGGAGGCCTCTAGGGCCGTTCGGGGGCAATCTTGGGAGCGTTTTGGGCCGTCACAGGGCCATCTTGGAGGCCTCTTGGGTGATCTTGGGGGCCTCTTGCGCCGTCTTGAGCCGTATCTTCCAAAAACCAAATGCAAATCAATGATTGTGGCCTCGTCGTGCCCTCCGAGAGAACGCGTTTCACGGGCGCTTGCCTTGGGAACATTCGGCGGCGCGTTTCAAACCGGGGGGTGGGCTCCCCCCTCCAACACTCGGCGCCGTCGATCAACCCCCCCCTCCCGAACCCCCTCCCCCTTCCCAAGGGGGGGGAGGTTTCAACCACCCCCTCTCCCCCCCCCTTCGGCGGCGGCGCCGGCGGCCGCCAGAAGCGCCCACGGCGGGAACGCAGCGACGATGACCAGAGGCAGCCCAGGGGGAGGGGGGTTTCACCCCCCCCCCCTCCTCCCAACGGGGGGGGTTCAAACCCCCCCTCCCCCCTCCTCCGAAGGGGGGGGGGCGCACCACCACCACCACAAGCACCACCCCCACAAACCACCGCCACAACCACAACCCACCACCACCACCACCACAAACCACCACCACACTAAGTACCATCAAACCACCACCGCCACCACAAGCCACCACCACCACCACCACCACAAAACCACCACCACACCACCACCAAACCACCACCACCACCACCACCACCCACAACCACCACAAAAACCACCACACCACCACCACCACACACCACCACCACCACAACCCACCACCACCACCACCACCACCACCACCACCACCACCACCACCACCACCACCACCACCACCACCACCGTCGTCCTCGTCGACGCTCCCCGCCACCGCCGCCCGCCGCAAGCGCCGGCGCCGGCCAAGAAATGCAAATCGTCGTCCCCGCCGCCGTCGCCAGCCGCCGCCGACCGAGAGGACGCGGGGGTGGGGGGGTGGGTTCGAATACCCCCCCCCTCCGTCACGAGAGGGGGGGAGGGGGCTCGAACCCCCCCCCCTCCGTCACTGGAGGTGGGGGGGAGGTCTGGTTCCAAACACCCCTTCCCCCTCCAAGCGACCATAGAACGCGCCCTTTCTGCCCTCCTGGAAGACCCCCTGGACGCCTTTTGGGCCGTCTTGGAGGCCTCTTGGGGGCCTCTTGGGCCGTCTTGGGCCATCTTGAGACCATCTGAGGCCGTCTTTGGTGCATCTTGGGCCGTCTTGGAATCATCTTGGGGCCATCTTAGCCGTCTTGGAAGCCATTTCCTCTTAGGGCCATCTTGGGGGCCTCTTGGGCCATCATGGGGCCATCTTGGAGGCCTCGTGGGTAACATGGGGGGCCTCTTGGGTCGTCTTAAGCCGTCGGAATGCCGAAAATAAGCAAATGCCACAATCTTTCAAAAACCTCAAGGAAATCAATGATTTTGGCCTCTTCGGGCCCTCCTGGAGGACCTCTTGGAGGCCTCTTGGGCTGTCTTGGAGGCCTCTTGGGGGCCTCTTGGGCCGTCTTAGGCCATCTTGAGGCCATCTGAGCCGTCTTGGAGGCCATCTTGGGCGTCTTGGAGGCCTCTTGGGCCGTCTTGGGCCCTCTTGGGGCCGTCTTGGGGGCCCCTTGGGCCGTCATGAGGCCCTCTTGGAGGCCTCGTGGGCGATCTTGGGGCGATCGTAGGGGCCTCTTGGGCCGTCATGAGCCGTCGGAAGGCCGAAAAGAAGCAAATGCCCAAATCCTTCAAAAACTTTAAGAAAATCAATGATTTGGGCCTCTTCGGGCCCTCCTGGAGGACCTCTTGGAAGCCTCTTGGGCTGTCTTGGAGGCCTCTTGGGGGCCTCTTGGGCCGTCTTAGGCCATCTTGAGGCCATCTGAGGCCTCCTTGGGTGCATCTTGGGCCGTCTTGGAGGTATCTTGGGGCCATCTTAGCCGTATTGGAGGCCATCTTGGGCCGTCTTGGAGCCGTCTGGAGCAGGGAAAACCCTTTGGAGCCGGGTCTGGGCAATCTTTCCGGGACCCCGGCGGGACGCGCCGGAGGCCCAGGGGGAGTTCTTTTGCAAGAAAAACCAAAACCAAAACCGAAAGGATCGAGCACGCCAGGCACCCCTGCGATAAATCGACAAGGGGCGGCGGATTCTGCCGAATCGGGCCAGTTTTCGACCAGGGATGCGCCACTTCTGAATTCACGGCCCCGCGGAATTGCGTCCTGAAAGAGGGAGACCGATGCAGTCACTGCGCTGCCATCCGCCACCGTGCCGCCTGGCACGAGCTGGAGTGCCCTCAGGTCCCCTTTGGTCCTCAGTCCCCCAGTCTTCAGGATTGGAAACTGAAAGACCTGGGCCCCAAATTTTCAGAATTTTAATGGTTCCCAGCGTGCCTCCCTTCCCGGCGCTGCCCGCATGACTTTTCTGAGCCGCGAGCGCTCCAAAACGGGTCAAGAGGGTCTCGCGAGGCCTCTGATCTACAACCCAGGCACGGTGGCGGGATTGGCCGAAGGCCAATACATCCGCCGCCCCCTTTTGCTTTAGCAAAGGGGTGCCTGGCGTGCTGAACCCTCTAGTTTTTTTTCTTGTTCGTTCCGAAACAGCTCCCCCTGGGGCTCCGGCACGTCCCGCTGGCCACCCGGAAAGGTGCTCAATCCAGAAAAAAATCCTCCAAGATGGCTCAAGATGGCGCCAAGATGGCCACGTTGGCCCAAGATGGCCTCCAAGATGGTCCACGATGGCCTCCAAGTCCGCCCAAGATGGTCCAAGACGGCCTCCAAGACGGCCCAAGAGAGTCCAAGACGGCCCATGACGGCCCAAGAGGCCCCCCAGAGGCCTCCAAGACGGCCCAAGAGGTCTCCAAGAGGTCCTACACGAGGGCCCGAAGAGGCCAAAATCATTGGCTTTCCATGAGTTTTTGACGGATTTTGGCATTTGCTTCTTCTCGGAATTCCGACGGCTCAAGACGGCCCAAGAGGCCCCCAAGATCGCCCAAGAGGCCCCCAAGAGGGCCCCATGACGGCCCAAGCGGCCTCCAAGATGGCCCCAAGAGGGCCCCAAGATGGCCCAAGAGGCCTCCAACACGCCCAAGATGGCCTCCAAGACGCCCAAGATGGCCTCCAAGACGGCCCCGAAGCGCCCCAAGAGGGTCCCCCGTTGGCCCAGAAAGGCCCCCAAGACGGCTCCCGACGGCGTCAGACGTGCCAGGAACCCACCAAGATGGCCGAAGTTGGCTCGAAGCTGGCCCAAGACGGCCCAAGAGGCCCCCAAGAGGGCCTCCAGGAAGGCCAGAAGATGCCAAAAACATTGATTTTCCTTAGGTTTTTGACTGATTTTGACATTTCCTTCTTTTCGGCCTTCCGACGGCCCGAGACGGCCCAAGAGCCCCCAAAGATCGCCGAACGATCGCCCAAGAGGCCTCCAAGACGGCCAAGATGACCTTCAAGACGCCCACGTGTTCCCCGAAGGCTTTCCAAACCGATTCGGGGAACACATGGTCCGATGGCTTGGCAGGTCTGGCCTCAAGGTTCGGCCACATAGGCGCTTCCACAAAGGCAGGGGGCGGCGGTGATTCGCCGTAGGCGTCTTCGATCCGCCGCCCCCTGTCGATTCATCGCAGGGGTGCCTGGCGTGCCAGATCCTTTCGGTTTTGGTTTTCGCTTTTTTTCCAAAAGAACTCTCCCAATGGGTTTCGGCCCGTCCCGCCGGGGTAACGGGAGGCTTGCCCAGGAACGCAAACTGTAAGAAACATCCTCCCTGAAACGGCCGTTTCGCTCGGGACATCCTCAACAAATCGCGAAGATAGCCCACGATGGCCTCCAAGTCCGCCCAAGATGGTCCAAGACGGCCTCCAAGACGGCCCAAGAGAGTCGAAGACGGCCCAAGACGGCCCACGAGGCCCCCCAGAGGCCTCCCAGACAGCCCAAGAGGCCTCCAAGAGGTTCTCCAGGAGGGCCCGAAGAGGCCAAAATCATTGATTATCCCAGAATTTTTGAAGGATTTTGGCATTTGCTTCTTCTCGGCATTCCGACGGCTCACGATAGCCCAAGAGGCCCCCAAGATCGCCCAAGAGGCCCCCAAGAGGGCCCCATGACGGCCCACGTGGCCTCCAAGATGGCCCCAAGAGGGCCCCAAGATGGCCCAAGAGGCCTCCAACACGCCCGAGATGGCCTCCAAGACGCCAAAGATGGCCTCCAAGACGGCCCCGAAGCGCCCCAAGAGGGTCCCCCGTTGGCCCAGAAAGGCCCCCAAGACGGCTCCCGACGGCGTCAGACGTGCCAGGAACCCACCAAGATGGCCGAAATTGGCTCGAAGCTGGCCCAAGACGGCCCAAGAGGCCCCCAAGAGGGCCTCGAGGAAGGCCAGAAGAGGCCCCAAAAATTGTTTTTCCTTAGGTTTTTGACGGATTTTGACATTTCCTTCTTTTCGGCTTTCCGACGGCCCGAGACGGCCCAAGAGCCCCCAAAGATCGCCGAACGATCGCCCAAGAGGCCTCCAAGACGGCCAAGATGACCTTCAAGACGCCCACGTGTTCCCCGAAGGCTTTCCAAACCGATACGGGAAACAGATGGTCCGATGGCTTGGCAGGTCTGGCCTCAACGTTCGGCCACATAGGCGCTTCCACAAAGGCAGGGGGCGGCGGTGGTTCGCCGCAGGCGTCTTCGATCCGCCGCCCCCTGTCGATTCATCGCAGGGGTGCCTGGCGTGCTGAACCCTCTCGGTTTTGGTTTTGGTTCTTTCCTAAGAGAACTCCCCCTGGGGCTTCGGCCCGTCCCGCCGGCCACCCGGACAAGACCTCAATTGCGGAAAAATCCTCCAGGACGGCTCAAGATGGCCTCCATGATGGCCACGTTGGCCCAAGATGGCCTCCAAGATGGCCTCCGATGGCCTCCAAGTCCGCCCAAGAGGAGGAGATGCCTCCAAGTCCGCCCAATAAACCTCCAAGACGGCCCAAGACGGCCCAAGAGGTGCCCAAGAGGCCTCCAAGACGGCCCAAGAGGCCTCCAAGAGGTCCTCCAGGAGGGCCCGAAGAGGCCCAAATCATTAATTTTCCTTCAACTATTACAGGTTTTTCGTACTTGCTCCTTTTCGGCTTTCCGACGACCCAAGACGGCCCAAGAGGCCTCCAAGATCGCCCCCGCAGCGCCCAGGAGGCCTCACAAATGGCCTCAGAGAGGCCCCCAAGACTGCCCCACGAGGGCACAAAGACGACCCAAGAGGCCTCCAATACGCCCAAGATGCCCTCTAAGACGGCCCTGGAGCACCCCAAGAGGGCCCAAAATCGGCCCAGAGAGGCTCCCCAAACGGCTTCCGACGGCGTGCGACGGGCCATGAGCCCACCAAGATGGCCGAAGCTGGCTCGAAGGTGGCCCAAGACGGCCCAAGAGGCCTCCAAGAGGGGCTCCAGGAAGGCTAGAAAAGACCACAAACATTTGTTTTGTTTCCTAGGTTTTTGAAGGACTTTGAGATTCGCTTCTTTTCGGCCCTCCGACGGCCCGAGACGGCCCAAGAGCCCCCAAAGATCGCCCACAGATCGCCCAAAGGGCCTCCAAGATGGTCCCAGAACGGCCCAAGAGGCCCCAAAGACGGCCCCGAGAGGCCCCCAAGACGGCCCAGGAGGCTTTTAAGACGCCCAAAAAAGACGGCCCTGGAGCATTCCAGGAGGGCCCCAAGTCGGCCCAGAGAGGCTCCCCAAACGGCTTCCGACGGCGTCGGACGGGCCAGGAGCCCACCAAGACGGCCGAAGATGGCCCTAAGATGGCCCAAGACGGCCCAAGAGGCTCCCAAGAGGGCCTCCAGGAAGGCCCGAAAAGGCCAACATCATTGATTCCCCATGAGTTTTTGAAGAATTGTGGCATTTGCTTTGTTTCGGTGTTCCGACCGCCCGAGACGGCCCCAAGTGCCCCCAAAGATCGCCCAAGGCGCCCAAGACGGCCCCAAGAGGCCCCCAAGGCGGCCCAAGAGGCCTCCAAGACGCTCAAGATGGCCTCCAAGACGGCCCAAGAGCCCTCCAAGACGTCCTCCAAGAAGGGCGAAAGGGTCAAAATGGCCTCGAGGTGGCCAAGATGACCTTCAAGATGCCCACGTGTTCCCCGAAGGCTTTCCAAACCGATTCGGGAAACAGATGGTCCGATGGCTTGGCAGGTCTGGCCTCAACGTTCGGCCACATAGGCGCTTCCAGAAAGGCAGGGGGCGGCGGTGATTCGCCGTAGGCGTCTTCGATCCGCCGCCCCCTGTTGGCTTGCCACAAGGGGTGCCTGGCGTGCGAGATTTCAAAAGGTTTTGGTTCGTTTCAAAACTCCCCCGGGGTCTTCGGCCCAGCGCGCGGGCCACCCGGAAAACATACATGTCAATGCCTTTCTCGCCGACGATGGCCCAACATGGATTCCAATATGCCTCCCAGACGGCCGAGATGGCCCAAGATGGCCTCCAAGATGCCTCCCAGGCGGCCGAGATGGCGCCAAGAGAACCCAATGTGTCCCCCAAATGCACCCAAGACGGTCCAAGATGGCCTCAAGACGGCTCAAGAGGCCTCCAAGAGGCCCTCCAGGAAGGCCCGAAGAGGCCAAGACCATTGAGTTTACTGAAGTTTTTGAAGGGTTTTGCACTTTGTTTTTTTTCGGCCTTCCGACCGCCCGAGACGGCCCACGAGGGCCCCAAGACTGCCCTAAGATGGCCGCAAAGGCCTCAAAAATGAGCCCATGTCGGCTGAAGAAGTCTCCAATTGAGCAGGGACCGATCGTCCCGGCATTCCTATAGTCCTACCACGAAGCGTTCTTAGCACCCAAAAAAGTTCCAAGCACAGAAACAATAGTCTTAGAACATAAACCCGATGTGATGAAACAAAACAGCCCTGCCAGAAATGTTCAAAGAACATTTCGTGGAAAACCACAGCAAGTTCTTGGAACGTTGTTTGGTGTGACTGTAAGCACGCCGTGACGCTTCGCCACTGCTCGATCCAAGACGGCCCCAGGAGGGCCGCAAGACCTACCCCCACGCCCAGCTCCGTAGACGACAAGTAAGAATCCCAAAGTACAGTGAAAGATCTCATGACCACCAGCCAGGACATCCCCCCCCCGCACTTCTCGTCCTCACCCCCCTCTTCGACGCCCTCGAAATCCAGCAGGTGCCCGCCTTCACTGCTGGCGGGCTGCCCGGCACTCTTCAGGAGCAGCGCCGCGAACTGCGTGCCGAGTCGCTGGGGCAGGAAGGCTGTGGATGGGCCGTGCGTGACGCTGGTGACCTGTCGGGGCAGACGAAGAGGGGGGGACAGCGCAGGGTGTGTGTGTGTGTGAGAGAGAGAGAGGGAAATCAGCTGCGCAGCGGACATTTTTGGCGCCTGCCAGCGCCTAGGGGCGCCACTGTATAGAGGAACGGCGTCCGGCGGCGGGGCCGAAACCGGCTGAGTGCAGCAGAGATTTCGTACCCCCTCCCTTTCCCTATCCCACCTTTCGTCCGACCCGAATCTGTGGGGCGACGTCAGCTGACCACCTCACCGATCCCGGCCAGGCCCATCCTAGGCCCAAGCTCGGTACACCAGGGAGCTGCAAACTTGATTCTCACATGCAAAACATCTGGAGTCCACTTGCCTCTTGCCGGGTACACGAGGGCCGAGCGCTGGAAAGACCTCTGGCCACAGGTGCATCCAGCTCTCGCCCAGGCTGGCCGCGCGATGTGCATATAACTTATCTGTGCGAACCCTCCTGGCTTGGCCAGGGGGGCATAAACACCGACCCTGGCCCTACGACCGACCAGCCCGGCCAGGATAGATCGACAAGATCGGCCACAATCGACTTGCAAATCGGATCAAAACGGGCATCGGATCGGGCCGCGTCAGCACGGAATCGCAACCGCATCGAATCCGCCACGCTAGGATGCACAATAACGGCATGCAAACATCGAGGCGCAATTACCCGATCGTCGAAATATCGGAATCGGATCTGATCGGGCCGGCCGAAACAGGCACCGAATCGGACCGATCGGATCCGAATGGGCCCTGCCGTCGATGCGGATCGAGATTTGGAGGGTTGGGGATACAGATTAAGGGGCGCTCTGGGTCTCCTCTGGAAGCCCACAGAGGACCACACGCGCTACAAAACGCAAACACATCTTCCAAACCGCACGCCTTCTGGGGTTGGATGTCTGAGGGCACTGATGATGATGCTGATGATGATGACGATGATGATGACGATGATGATGAGGATACTGATGCTGATGATGATGATGCTATGTGGATGGTGATGATGATGATGATGATGAGGAGGAGGAGGAGGAGGATGCTGATGATGATGATGATGGTGATGATGATGATGATGATGATGATGATGATGATGATGACGAGGAGGGGGAGGAGGACGAGGACGAGGAGGACACACAGGAGCAATACGAGGAAAGGCGAGGTGGTCGGTTGACGTCCCCCAACACCTGTGGCACAGATGTGTACTCCACAAGCCGAATGCCGCCGCGCGGCTCCAGCAAGAACTCGGCCGCGAAAAAGAAGTACGACCCGTCTGGCTCCAGCCCGGCCCGGCTATAGGCGTCACGGCCGTCTGGGAGGTATTCAGACGCCAGAAAGGCGGCCTGTCGGGCGCGGCCGAACCGACCCCTTCCGTGACGACCCCGCCACCCTCGAGGCTACTGGAAAATTCCCCCCCCCCCCCCCCCCCTCTTCCTCCAGAACCCGGGGGTCCCCCCCCCCCTCCGAAAATCCCCCCCCCCCCCCCCCCCCCCGAACCCTCCCCCCTTCCGGAAAACCGGGGGGGTCACTACCGGTTCGAACCTCCCCCCCCTCCGGAAAACCGGGGGGGGCCACTACTGGTTCGAAACCCTCCCCCCCCAGAAAACCAGAAAGGGATCACCACTGGTTCGAACCCCTCCCCCCCCACTCGAAAACCGGGGGGGGGTCACTACCGGTTCGAACCCCCCCCCGCCCCCTCCGGAATACCGGGGGGGGTCACTACCAATTCGAACCCCCCCCCCCCCCCCTTCCGGAATACCGGGGGGGGTCACGGTTCGAACCCCTCCCCCCCCTTCCACACGCGCACCGCCAGCAAACGACTCCCGGGTCCCTACCACCGTCCGCACCACATCCCCCACTGCTGTCCCCAGCACCACTGTCCTCACCACCACCGTCCCCACTGTTCCCACCGCCGCCCCCACTGTCCCCACCAGTGCCCCCACCACTGTCGCACTGTCCCCTCTGTCCCGACCACTGTCCACACTCTTCTGTTTTCCTATGTAAACCAACGTTCATGTGTCGTGTGCCGACTGTCTACTCCTGGCAGGCCGGCATAACTAGAAGAAACAGCAACACCATGAACATAAACTTTTTGCGCTCCGCGCGGATTTCTTGGCTCCATGCTGGACCCCCCTCCCTGGCGCGCGGAGCGCGCCAGGGGCGGCGCTGGAGGCGCCGCCGGGGGGGCCCAGCGCGAATCCAAGAAACCCGCGCGGAGCGTCAAACGTTCACAGTCAGGGCGTTGACCTAAGGAACCCTAAATAAGGAACGAGGCCCCTTTTTTTCCATAAGTTAACCTGCGATTTCCTGTTGAAAGCATAAGGACAGGCTGAGGCAAGCTGTGAAACACTTCAGGAACGCGGAGCCCCTCCCCAACGAAAAGGGTTCCTTCTTCAGCGCCCCGACTGTATGTTCGTGGCGTTGTTTCTTCGAGTAAAACCGGACGCCCTCGGAGCTCCGCGCGGGCTTCGTGGATCGGCGCGGCGGCGCCCGAGGTGTCGCCGCCAAGGGGGCCCAGCGCCGATCGAAGAGGTGTGCGCGGCGGTGTCTCCGAAGCCTCTGCTCATGCCGTCGTTTCTTCTTCGAGGCTCGGAGGGCTGCTTGGCAGGTCAGCATTCGAATCGGTAAATCGGATCGGGTCGAGACATGCGTCGAATCGGGCCGCATCGGCACGGGCTCGAGATCGAAACGGATCGCCCGGCCAAGATGCACAACAACGCGCACGCGAGCATCGGGCCGCATCGGATCGCCGAGAAATCGGAATCGAATCGGATCGGGCCGGCCGCAATCGGAATCGAATCGGATCGATGGGATATCGGAATGGTTGTGGACCCTGCCTGCCTTGGTCACCTCGGCGACGTACGGCATGAACGTGGACTGGACGAAGCTCTCCCCTGGCCTCAGCGGGAAGCCCGCGCCTGCCGGCAGGCTCCGCAGATAGGCGTCGAGCTCGGTGCCGTTCCGCCGGAGCGTGCGGTGCTTCGGCGCGTCGTCAAGCACGACGCCGTCGTAGAGCACGAAGTACGGCTCCGAGAACATGTGCCCGGTCGGGCGAGAGGGGGCGCGCGAAGGGGGTCTTGTATGCACTTCGCAACTTGTTCGTGCCATCCTTGCGCAGGGCAGGGGCCGTGCCAATCTTCTCCGTATCGTTCCAATCTCAACGGGCGATCCCTGAGGGGAGCCCCGGGCCGGGCTGGCGCACTCGCGCGGCCGACTTCCCTGGCGCCAGAGGCGTCGAGGAGAGCGCCCCCTGCGGCGGGGCGGCAACCGGGACGGAGCAGACGTCGTAATCCCGCCTTTCCCGATTCCCCCTCCCTTTCGCTCTGGGTCGCCTGGCTTCCCGCACCGTGCCCTGCGGTGCGCGAGCATCCTCGCGACCACGACCCCCGCGATGTGCCACGATCCTCACGCCATCGCGCAAATCCGTCGCCGCCTCCACGGAGGAAGCGCAGCCGCTCTGGCTGGGGCCGCGACGCGCGAATCGCGATTCTCTTTGCGCCTCCGCAGGTGACCTGGACTTCGTACCCCCAGACTGAGGTCGGGCATGTCCCCCTACAGGCGGACTTTGGGCGAAAGCGGAAAAAGACTGAACACATATCCCTAAATGCTCAAAAATAATTTAAAAAAATCGTCCCCAGACTTTTTTTATTTTTGAATATTCCTCCTGTAGAGGGACAGGCTCGACTTCACCCTAGACTCCCCCCTGTCGTCCGACCCGAGTGTACAGGTCGTAGCCCACGCCCAGTCCCAGCTTCCACCTGCCGCGGGCAGGGCACATGCTGGTGCGCCCCCGCCGGAGCACGGCGAAGAAGCTGCGCGAGAGGATGTTGCGGCCCTCCCACTGCAGGGTCTGCAGTATCTCCTGCACCACCCTGACCTGGAACCTGGGCAGGGCGTCCACCCGTGTCTGGTTGACCTCGCTCTGTGGGCAGCCCTTGAGGCCCAGCCTGGAGCGCAGGTCCTCGAAGGTCTCTGGCTGCCAGATCTCGCGCCCACCGTGGGCTACGCCCTTGGTGATGTAGCGGCTGTTCGAGCCGGAGCAAGGGACCTCTGCGTCCAAGGCCGGATCGCCCACGTCCAGGGTGCGTGGCGGGCTGCTGCTCAAGGCAGAGCCAGCTGGGGCCTCCCTGGCGATCCTGGCCAGCGCGTCCTTGTGGCAGAGTGCCAGCTCGTGCTCGAAGGGCCCGGTGAGCCGCAGCCCGAGGTCCTCTGGCATGGCGCAGCCGCGCTTGGAGGGCGGCAGCTCGCCGCTGTCGATGATGAAGGCAGCGGTGCTTTCCGGGCCGGGCTTCCAGCCAAGGGCGCCGACGAGGTGCTCGCGCACAACGTCCATCTGCTCCATCTGCCCCGCGCTGAACCCGTTCCCCGACGCGAGGGTCGGCGGAGGCAGCAGAGGCGGGCATGGCACGTGTTCGCTGGGGAGGCCTCGCCGAAGACACGGGCGGGGGGAGCTGCTGGATACGTGCAGTGTTTCCCGCCCCTGGGCTATCTACGGGGGCAGACGGGCACCAGCACCGCCACTCCCCGAACCATTCCCAGGGTGCGTACAGTGGAGGCCAGTTCACAAGAGATTTCCCACAAGAAACCCAACCCGAAGACCCCACGACGTCCCATCGACTTTTGGTGTGGGAGCGACACGCTGCCCTTCGCAAAACCATCGAAACCCAAGAACCCCAGGGCACCCTGGAGGCAAGCAAGGTGTTTCTTGGCATGGCCCCCCCACTGTATTGACCAGCCTTTCGAGGAGAAGGCAGCCGCGGCAACGCGGGCCTCTCAAAAGGCCCAACAAAGCGAGAAGCGGCACGGGCAGCAGCACAGTTTGACCGAATACCTCCTCCTTCTCCTCTGGAGCAAAGCCCGCCCCCCCTAGGAGGAGGGGGAGGAGGAGGAGGAGGAGGAGGAGGAGGAGGAGGAGGAGGCGGAGGCGGAGGCGGAGGCGGAGGAGAAGGGGGAGGAGGAGGAGGAGGAGGAGGAGGAGGAGGAGGAGGAGGAGGAGGAGGAGGAGGAATAGAAGGAGGAGGACGAGGAGACGGAGGCGGAGGCGGAGGAGGAGGAAGAGAGGAGGGGAGGAGAGGAGGAGGAGGAGGAGGAGAGGAGGAAGGAGGAGGAGGAAGAGGAGGAGGAGGACCCCTGGACGCTCCGCCCCTGCTGCGGCCGCCGAGAAGAACGTGAACGGCTCGCACGGCGGCGGGTCCTCCGGCGACTCGCACGACGCAGCCGCCGCACCGGCGGCCGCCCTCGCAGCTTCGCCGGCGCGGGCGCCCTCGGCGGGCGCGGGCGCGCCCCGGGCGGGCTCCGGGCTCTCCTGCCCCAGCGCCAGGAGGCTCCGCACCTTGGAGTCGCACTCCTCTCGGGCGGGCGAGGGGCGGCGTTCACGCAGCCCGTTTCGCCGCCGCTCCTCCTCCTCCTCCTCCTCCTCCTCCTCCTCCTCCTCCTCCTCCTTCCTCCTCTTTGCCATCGCTCGGACGTCCATTCCACGTGCATGTTCCGATGTCGTGCATTCATTCTTTTCGCAAGGTGATCCAAGATGCTCCTCGATGGTCCGCGCCGAGGAAGAAACGCACACGTCCGAGCGATGCCAAGCGTCGGGGGCGCCTGCCCAAAAAGCGGCTGGAAAATGTGTACCGCTACGGTGGTGCCTGCTTCCAGAGTCTCTCTGTCTCTCTCTCTCTCTCCTTCTTCTGATGTGTCACATGTGTGGCTGCAGTGCCTCCTTCTCGTCTTCCCCCTTCTTCCTCTCCTCCTCCCTGCTTTTCCCGCCCCTTCCTTCCTGTCTGTGCTCCAAGCTGGTGGGGCTCCCATATTCTGCTTCACAGTCGGGCGCTTTGTTCTCCTGCTTCGCAGTTGTGGGGCGCTCCTTTGTTGTGCTTCACACTCCTGATGCGTTTTGCTTCTGCTTCACAGTCGCGTCTCCGCGCCGCCAGTCTGATCTTGTGGCCCCGAAGCGCTGACAGCTGCGCTCTCTTCTGCCCACACGTCCTGCAGAATGCTCGGCTCAATGGTGGTGGTGGTGGTGGAGGTGGCATGTCAGGGTCTACACTTTCCAGCCGCCTTGGGGCAAACGTCCCCGATAGGGGGATCATATTGTGTCGTGCTGTGCTTCGTCCGCTTAATCCTCGGCCTTCCTCAACGCGTCGAGCTTCGCCATGTGCTCGACGTCGCCCATCTTGGCCTTCAGGTGCTCCACCTCAACCGTCAGCTCCGCGATCGTCATCGACGCGGCGGTCAGCCTAGAGGAAGGACAAGCTAGATGATGATGACGATGATGATGATGATGATGATGATGATGATGAGGAGGAGGAGGAGGAGGAGGACGACGAGGAGCTACATAAGACATAACCCATCGGAGGTCTGCGCGCATTCTCCTTGGATCGGCGGCAGGCCCCCCTCGCTGGCGCGCAGGGCGCGCCAGGGGCGCGCCGTCGGCGCCGCCAAGGGGGTCCAGCGCAGATCCGCGCGGACCTCCGACAGTTTGTGCTGATTGCGGGCCCTAAGGATATGCATCACCACCACCTCCATGCCCCCTCCTTCCTCCGCCCGCCTATTCCCCTCCTCTCTCTTGGGAAAGAGAATGGGTGAGGGAAATTCAATCAACACGTATATAAGGGCGGGTGGTAAGGACGCAAAACCCTTGGAGGCCGAAGTTGGGATCTTTTGGGCGGCGGGGGACCAGTGAAAACGGCAAACGACTGGCCGCAGAGGTAAGGACACAAGGGCACCCTAGATGAAAGCGCGCGCCCTTACGCGCGGCTTACTGGGCGCGTTGACTGTGGCGGTGGTGATTCGGTCTCGGTCCCGTACAATCGAAACGCTGTCATAAGGAACCTCCAACAAGAACGAGGCCCCTTTTTCCAGCTGAGCCTCGTGCTTCCGCATAAAACCTAAGAGAAACATCGAAGACAACCTGCAACAACACATAAGGAACGTTGAGGTTCCTTCTTAGGCGGCCCGATTGCACTTACCGCCAACCCGTTTGAGATGGGCGCGCGATCAGGATGCAAGGGCCTTGGACGGCCGTTTCGAAGATCTCCGGGCGGGGCGCAGCCAACGAAGGTGGCCAAGGATGGACCGAGGAAGCAAGGATGCAAGGGTACCGTTGGGAAAATCCCACCAGCCCTCCGGGCGTAGTTTAGAGCGTTTCCTCTTTCACCCCCTTTCTTCCTTCGGGAAGGGGTTTATCCCGCCCCCGGACCCCCTCGTCTGGACCTGGACGGGGGTTTTCGCGAGCGGTCAGGGCGTCCGAAACGGCCTCGGCGATGCAGTCAACATCATTGGTTGTACTAAGATGTTGGCTCCATTTTGGCCTCTTGGAAAGGGCAGCGCGAATTGAGGCCATCCTCTTCTTTGATCGATGTCCTCCAAGATGGCCCCAGGAAGCGCCAAGGAGGTCCCAAAAGGCCCGTGAGGTGGCCCCCCAGAGGCCCCCAAGAAGCCCCCTGGAGGCCCCCCAAAGCGGCCCCAAGCGGCCCACCCGAGGCACCTCAGACGCCCGAGAGCCCCTCAGGACCGCGAAGAGACACCCAAGACGAGACACCCAAGACGTCCCAAGAGGCCACCAATAAGCGCCCAAGAGATGTCCCAAGAGTCTCCGAGAGGCATCCGCAAGACCTCTGGCCCTTTTGCTTGCCCTCCTCCTCCTGCTCGTCCTTCCTCCTCCTATTCCTTCTCGTCCTCCTCCTCCTCCTCCTCCTCCTCCTCCTCCTCCTCCTATTCATCTTCCTTCTCCCCACTTAGCCTCATCCTTTTCCTCCTCCCTCCTCCTTCGCACGGTTCGGCCGTCCCTTTTTTTTGCTCCCGCACTCCCTGATCACTTCAGCTCGCCTGGACATTGTTTCTGGATGGGCTGGTGGGGATACCCTTTTTGTTCGCGAGTGCAAGCGGAAGGGCCGCGCGCCGTCCAAAGCTACAGCTAACAAGCAGAAGCCTAAATTACACGAGAGGGAGAGAAAGAGAGAGAGAGAGAGGAACAAAAGAGAGAGAGAGAGAGAAGGAGAAAGAGAGAGAGAGAGAGAGAGAAAAAGAGAGAGAGAGAGAGAACAACAACAATGGAAAAAAGAGACAGCAGGAGGACAGCGGGAGGGGAGACCAGCCAGGGCGGGCCGCGCGGTGCTCACGGAGGGGGTGCCATCGGCAGCTAGCAACCGCCAGAAGTGCACGCCAAAGTGGCGTGCAATTCGCTGGCAGTGTGGTGTCCCGCGACTGCGGCGTGGGGCAGCCCCGCGGGAGACAGTGGAAGCCGCAAGCGCCTGCGCCTGTGCGGGGGGCAGCATGCGGGGGGCTGAGCGCGGCAAGGGCTATGCATCCCTGCGAAAGGAGCAAGCCTTCAGGTGCGTCGAAGCCAATGCGGGTGGCGGCGGAACGAGTGAGTGCCGACGCCCGAACAGCACCTCGCGCCGTGGGACAGGCACGCCGTAAGCAGACTGAAGGCAGTCAGCCGCGCGTCGACACCAATGAAAAGGCCAGCTGGCATGCAGGCCCTCGACGGACGGGAGTCCGGAGCTGGTGGGGATACTTTTTAGTCAGCGGCCGCGGGCGAGCGCGCCAGCGGCGAGTCAGGTCCGAGCGGGCTACGCAGAGACTAATTAGGCAGAGGCGACGCGCGAGGCGACAGCTACGCGCCGGCCGAGGCCTCACGCAGCGGCCCAACGGCAGGCGGATGGCTGGAGGGACTGAGACTGAGTGGAACTGCCAGCGTGCAAAGATGCAAGTCCGTCGGAGGCGCCCAAAGTCGGAATGTAAACGACGGCCAGGGACAACTCTGGTGGGGATACGCGAGGAGTCTGGCATTGCCCATCTTTGCCGTGCGCCCGCGGGACACCCTGGCCGCGCGGCTCGGACCGACGCCGCTCCCCGTCCAGGGCGCAGGCGAGGGATGCCTCCCCCCAGCCGGGCACAGGAAGCCGACACGGGGAATGAAGCTAGGGGGACTGGGGAGGAGGAGGAGGAGGAGCAGGAGGAGGAGGAGGAGGAGGAGGAGGAGGAGCAGGAGGAGCAGGAGGAGGAGGAGGAGGAGCAGGAGGAGGAGGAGGAGGAGGAGCAGGAGGAGGTGAGGAGGAGCAGGAGGAGGAGGAGGAGGAGGACGAGGAGGAGGTGATTGTGTGCAGAAGGAGCAGGAGGAGCAGGAGGAGGAGGAGGAGGAGGAGGAGGAGCAGGAGGAGGAGGTGACTGCATGCAGCTGCTTCTCCTCCCACCACAGGCCGTATCCAAAGCAGCCCGCAGAGCGTGACCAGCACGCCGAGCCCCACGCGGGCTAGGCGCGCGCTCATCCCGCCGGCAGCGGGGGGCGCCCCAGAGCGGCGC